CGCCTTCGCCCAGCTCCTGCCTTGTTTGGCTGCGTCTCGCAGGGAGCGCTGTTCCCATGTTTGGACGCACACAGGCTCCTTATTAATTTTAGAAACTGTCCGGAGTGACCAGCAGCAGCTAGCCCCGAACCAGGGACAGAGACCTGGGTTCTAGGCCTGCCTTTTGGCATGGAGGGTGTGGCCTAGCCTCAGTTTTCTGGTCTGTGCAATGGCCTGCACTTGCACCCCACTGTGGGGACCCACAGAGGCCGGGTGGCATCGGGAGCAGGGCTGTGCCCGCGCCTCTAAGGAAATGGGTGGGGCGGCTGAAGGTGGCGCACAGGGGCCGGTTCAGAGCCCTGACCCTCAGTCCTCAGCGAGGGCCCCGGGCCCAGTGGCCCAGCACCTGCAGCCGCAGGCCTGCCGGGCGGTGGGGACGATGCCAGGCTCCGTGCCAGCTGCTGTTCTTTTCGCTGCGGTAGGAGGTAGGAGGAAGTAACCTGGTCCGTTACCCACAGCAGTTGGTGCCGAGGAAATTGCATCAGACCATAGGCTGCAAACCCCCCCCAGACCTTTGGGCTGCGGAGAAGTGTCTGCCCGCAGGGCCCTGACTTCCTCCTCTGCCCTTCCCGGGCCCACCGCTTGCTGCCTCCCGTATCCAGATGGCACCCCGTCCATCCTGAGTGACCCCTCGGCACCGGCAGCGACCGCCCTTGGTCTGACCCAGTCTAGGGGCACATGTCCTGGACCACGCAACTCTGGGGAGTGAATGCCCCATGTCTGTGACTACAGGGCATGGGGGGGGGGACCCTGCACTCCTACAGTGGCATTTAAAGAGATTCGACGGATATCTATCCAGTACCTACTAGTAGTATACCTGGCGCTGTTCTAAGTGTTGGGGGGTATAGCTATGAACAAACAACATGAGTGACTGGGAAGGGAACTGGTAGTCTGGGAGGGCTTCTTGGAGGAGGTGACCCTTTTGCTGCAGGACGTGGCCACGGGAACATCTGAGGACAGAGCCTTCCAGGTAGAGGAACAGGGAGAGCGACATGGCCGGTGGTGGGGACGTTCTGCCGGGAGAGGCTCGGTGGCCTGGTGAAGGGTTGGCGTAGCCAGCAGAGGATCTGAGGGTGACCCTGAGGTGTTGGCCCTGACAGGGCGGTGATGGCGTTGACCCAGCACGTGTATTACTGAGCACACTGCTGGGCCCCGCAGCTATGGTCCCATCACTCTTACCACCCTCCTGCGGGTTCGAGCCCCGGGGGCCTTGGACCCCTCCCATTCTTCCTCCACTCCCTCCCTCCCACCGTCCCCTTCCCCGGAAGTCCTGGGGCCGGGCTAGCATCTGCTCCCTCCTTGCAGTTTGCCCTGGCACTGGCCCTCTCTGATCCCCGCAGAGCCTCCCTTGGGGGCTCCCCTGCCCCAGTGCCCTGCCCTCCCAGGGCAGCCACGCCACACGCCCGTGCTGGTCTCCTTCCCTCCCCGCCCCCTCCCTGACTGTTGCAGCTGCACCTCGCAGACACTCCCTCCAACAGGTGTGATCTCTCCCTCCTCCAACCGTCCCCCCGCCCCCCGCACCCATTGCGCCTCAGAACTCTCCTTCCCGGCCACAGCTCACCTTCCCGTTGTCCTGCCTGGCGCAGGGCCTTGTGCGTGGTAGGCATTCAGTTAGGTTGGGGTTAGTCAAAGCTAATTCCTTCCCACCAGACCTTTTACGAAAGCCTGACAAACAGAAAAAGCAGATTTAGGTCGAGGGGCCAGGAAAGAGATGGGGTCTCTCCCTCTCTCACACTCACCCACACGGCCCCTCTCAGGTGTCTGTTCTCTGAGAAGCATCAGTAACCTCTGCCCACCCCCACCCCTCACCCCAAGACCAACAACCTTTCCACCCTTGGGTTGGTCGAAGCCCTTCCCCCGGGCGCTCCGCATTCCAGCCCTTGCTGGACTCGGAGCCGGCAGGTCCTGCGCACGGCTGTCCCCGGGAGACACGGATGGCCTGCTGCCCCAGTTTCTCTCTGGTCCGTGTTCCTGCTCCTGAGGGGAGAGCAGAGGATGCCCTGCACCAGTTCACACGGGTCATTTCTCCCTGCTCCAGACAAGCGCCAGCTGTGTGACGGTGCCACCGCCGGCGTCCGCCGAGGTCCTCGGGAGGAGCAGGGATAGAGAGGCCGTGGCGTTGTCCCCAAGGTCACAGTTAGGCCCTGGCAGAGTAGTGACTAGAATCTAGGTCTCTTAATTTTATTGTTATTTTTTAATCTTCACCCCAGGATGTTTTTTCCATTGCTTTTCAGAGAGAGTGTGGAAGGGACAGAGTGAGAGAGAGAGAGAGCGAGAAATACGGATGTGAGAGAGACACATCGATTGGTTGCCTCCTGCATGTACCCCAACCGGGGCTGGGGATTGAGCCTGCAACCGAGGTACCTGCCCTTGGCCGGAATCGAACCCAGGACCCTTCAGTTTGCAGGCCAACGCTGTAAACACTGAGCCAAACTGGCCAGGGCTAGAATATAAGGTCTCTTGACTGCTGTGTCCACCAAACCTCTCGGCCTCCAGCCGCCTGCTAAGGAGGGGCCTTGGCGCCTGGCCTGCCGGGTGCCCTACCTTTTCCCATGAGAAGGTCCAGGGGCTGTGCCTGGCCTTGCCTCGCCTCTGCTTTCCGGGTATGGGGCTGGACGCTGGCCAGTGGGCCAGCTGGCCCTGGGTGTGGAAGTGGCTGACTTCCTTCTGGTCTCAGGTCTGGCCCAGACTCCTCCCCTCCTCAGATCGGCCTCATCCTCTGGTACCATTTAAAAAAAAAAAAAAAA